CGGGGGGGGGGGGGGGGGGGCATACGTAGGATAATGGGGCATCGGGTTTAAAAACGCCAGGTCAAGACCAAAGCATGGGGGGGGGGGGTCTGAGAAGTAGACGGGAAGACAAAAAAAGGGAAACAGAAGCAAAGGATGCGACGATCTAGTTAACAAACATACCTTTCCATTTTTCTACAACCCTTCCCACGATATCCAGCAATCGTCTGGTACACCTCTCAGCTTTCTTGATTCACCCATGCCACGTTGCACCACACACGAAAATGGTGTACCTATACTGCTGTACTCTTGTGCTTTACAGAGCTTAGACAAGACACCGCAGTGTTACATTCGACTCTTGCTTGCATCATCGCACCAGTATCATGAGATTTCCAAGCGCTTGTGAGGGGAATCTGTCCCCACAAGTCTAGGGATCTCCACCACTTCATTTCTTTCTGTCCCGACAAGTTCAAATACAATGCACGCAATGGGCGGAGAGTCCACGGGGAAATCTCGTGACATTATATTTCTGTCTTTCCTATTTACGTCGAAGTATCATTTTCTCCATACGTATCGTACCCCCAGCTATGTTTTGTTGTTGTTGTTGTCTTCACATTAAAAACCGTTCCGATCTCTCTCTACCCAGTACCTTCATATGTCCGTACTGATCCAACACTTGACGCGGTCGATTCCCGTGGTCACAGGCTAACTTACCCTAAAAAGGTTCGCTCAACAAACTGGCCCCGAGGGGTCCGCAAGTCAATAGAAATCAACGACAGATATTCTGGAGTCCTCCGCTCCCTCTGCGCGCTATGCGAGGTAACAACTGAGTCTAGGAGTCAGCATCACGGGCCAGAGAGAATGAGGTACACCCCCTTGGTTCAATCTTGGTGCTTCACACGCAAGCAGAGACAAGGCCATCTGACACAGAAAAAGAGAAAAAAGAGCGACAAAGAGAAAAAAGAGAAAAAGAGAAAAAAATAAAAGGCAACAGGAAGAAAAGAGAAAAGAAAACGAAAAAGAAAACGAAAACGAAAAAGAGCGAGGACAAAAAGAGACCAGGCCGAAAATAACAAGAAATAAGGGACAGAATAAGGCACACGGTGGAGAGAACACTCACGAACGAACAAGCAAACACGCAAACATGGCCACCAACCAGCGATACATGGTGATGGTACGTCATCACTAGTGGGGGGGAATTGGCAAAAAGAAATTCAATCCGGCACGTATCACGCCAATCGGTCCGTCTCTTCTCATTTACTTTCTTCCCTCGCCGTCTCGTCCGTCTCCTGCCCCCCTCCCGCCCCATCGTATGATGCATACTTGAAACATCAGGTCCTGGCACTGTGTACTTTTTTTTTTTTTCTGATAATAACACAACACATCCATCTCTGTCCATGGAAAAGGGTGTAGGATAAACTCGTTGTAACTGCTGTGTTGTTAGCAACGGCCGCTCGGCAAGGTCTTGCGGTAGGTACGTACATGTTCCCTTGTTCCGCCGACGGACATTAGTCTACAAGGTACTGAGCGGCGACCGGAGCGTTTTATACTGCGAAAACAACAACAACAAAACAATAACCGCCTCCGATAACACCATCCATCACGCATGTATCTTTATCTTGTCAGCAAATCATCACCACCGCGGCAAGTTTCGCGAAATTCGGTTGCCGTATGCGTTTGTCCAGGGAGAGAGCAAAGATAAGCTCGCGAGAACTGCTTTCGTCCTTGCGTTTCGCACACACATAAGTATGCATACAGCGCTGGAGAGGTCGGTACGTTTATCATGTGTCACTGCTGCAGTTGGGTGGCGTGACCGCGCTCTTGGATCGGTAGTCAGCGGAGGTACGTACAAATAGCGCGCGCCCTGTCGCAAACAGTGAGCGCTTTACCAAAGACGGCTGTGCGAAAATAGCAGCAACAGGCATGCAAGACTGTCCACGCTGCTGCCATGTAACACGACTGATCACCCTGCCACATCTGTCCAAGCCAAGCACCCAGAAAGGAGCAGCAAACGCGAAGAACAACGTTCCACATCAAAAAGTCAAATGTGTCACCATGATGCAACAGCAGACCCGCCGCATTCTCAGACGATCAGGCAAAAGAGTGATGTGTGCGTTGTTGGACCTCACAATCTGCAGGGGAGAGCGAAGAGGCCCGCGCTCTTGTGCAGCAACAGCAAAAAAGGACCCGTGCTGATGTGCTCCGTAGATCATGAAACACGCACCTCATCTTCGGGCGCTGCGTAGGCGGAGGGCTCCTCACGAACGCTGCCGCTGCTTCTTCCGTGGGAGATGTACTACTGGTTTCGTTCTGACTAGCCTGCTGGCCTGGCACTGCATCATTGCCGAACGTTCCCCAGCCTGGACCACCCTTTACAAAGCGCTCTTTCTCCTCCTCACTCATGGTGAGCAGCTCTCCCCCCTCTGCCTGACAGCAGTAGGTAGGTCACTCAGCACGTTGGTTCTGGCTCACTTTTGAGGGGGGGGCAACGCAATTTGGAATTCGTAACATGGAGGTATGCCCAAACCAAGACTAATCCCGCCGCGTCCAGGTGCTTTGCGCTTTGCGTCCACCACCGCCGCACACAGCAGTGCAGCTAGCTGCCATGGCTGCCTTTGGCCTGAGCTTGGACAGCCCCCTCCTCCCTAACGTCGATAGCTTCATCAACCCTACAAAAGGCGAGGACGAGCATCGGAGTGCTCTCAATGCGGTGGTGAGAAAAGGCCTCTGTTGCAACTAGACAGGGCTACCGAGCACATTATACTGCTTTCAGAGTACTGCGCTTTGTGGTACCGAAAGAGTCGGAGAGATGGCACCCCCGTGTTAGCATTTTTGTATAGCGTATTTCTCCACAACCAGGTGGGTACCACTGCCGAAAAGGGGAGGTTTGGAAACATCTCGTCGAGGGCTTTCCTGAGAGGTATCGGTTGGTGTTCGCACCCTCCTAGTTGTGGAGAAATACGCTTAAAAAAAACGCTCAACACGGGGGTGCCATCTCTCCGACTCTTCCAATACAGCAGTATTTGAAAAGTTGAAAGTTGAAAGTTTTGGTTGTCCATGATGTTCCAGCGCTGGTCCACGTCCGGAAGCAGTCAACCGGGCGGCGGTGTGCAACGTTGGTGTCAGCTCTTCGTTGATTTTTCTCGCTATATTGGCCTTGAAGTTAACATTCAGTCAAGTCTACAGCAGCACAAAATATCACAAATCGTTGTAGTTGCAAGTTGGTACGTAGGTGACACATTTTTCTCCCACACAGCATGCCGAGATCAGTCAATGGTAACCTCTGGCTGGTGAACCGCATGGGTTGCGAGGAACACAGCAACACTGCAGGCGGATGTGCACCACCAGCATATTTTGCATGGGGGCAGAGAACAACCCACCCTCTTTCAATACCATTTGGGTGCACATGTCTATCTACATCTATTTGCACCATATTTTGTTGAAGCGAGTTTTTTCGATCGTGGCTAGATTTCATTTTTAAAGACCGTAAATTGGTGCTTTGTATCGGGATAAGCGGAGTATGCTGGCGTCGTGACGGCAAAATCGGGTTAAGAGCCTAGAGAGCGGATAGATCATCGTTCGAACCCCAGACGTGGGGGTTATTTTTTTTCGCGACTCATTTCGAAGTGCTTCTTTTTTTCCCGCTCTAAACACACACACACACGGCAGTCCACACAGCAGTCCGCAACCCAACAGAATGCAGACACATCTCGAAGTGCAGTACTATCAGTCAGTACAGTGTACGTACTTGTTGTGCTGTTCTCGTTCCCCCTTATTGTTCTGCCTATTTTTTCTACTTTTACTATAGCCAGCCGCTAGACTTCTTCTACTGGATGGAGTTGAACAATGTCGGCTTCCCTCAACTCACTGAAAAAGACTCCAACACATCCCGTTCGACTGTGGCTATATTTATATCTCGAACGGGTACAGTAATCTTTCTGTCTTTGTACGAAGTATACATATCTTTCCTGCTATTTATGCACGTACAGCAATACGACAAAAAGAAAGCGGTACCGACAGGAGAGCGTCTTTTGTTGGCGAGACAGAGAAAAGAAAAAAGGATTGGGAAGGAGGGGAAATGTTAATGTTTGGGTGTAGCAGCTTCACCAGAGGCCGAAAGAGAAGAGAAGGTTGACTCAAGACCTTGTTGGTTAGAGAGTGGTAGACACGTACCTCCAACAGCTCACCCATCTATCTCTTCGCCTCTACACCCAAGAGTAGGAACGCCCAGGCACTTCCTTGCCACACGAGTGTCCTCTTGATCTGACATGAATCTGGTCGTTGCTGTGGTCACATGCCTGTTGTCACGAAACCAGCGCCCGTTGATCTGTTTTTTCTGTTTTTTTTCTAGGCTGACAACTCGCGGGCCGGATGCATGCCTCATTGATGCGCTTTCCAACTACTAATGCTGCTGTGTACAATTATGCCCCAACCTCCACCGTCTGCACGGTCTGCTTTGCTGTGAACCTCTGCTAACACTACTGCGGTATGGTTTTGACTGCTGGAAACTGCATCTGGGGCAGCTGGTTCAGAAGCAGTACATGTACACATATACAGTCTCTAGAAATCAAGAGCTTTTAATTTTTTATGTGTTGATATATCACTTTCGCTTGTTTTCGTGCTTCGGGATATCTCTCGCCGGCAGAAGCGAGTCTTTTCTCACGTTACCTTCTCAGGGGCACGCAGGCGGATCGTTGGTACATTTTCGCGCACGCCCGGGGACCACAAGTCACCCGTGGCGCTTGTGCTTGACGCCCAAAGATGAAAAAACTGACTCTACACCCCGGGGACGTGTTCCGCGCGAAGATAGCCTTCGCAAGAAATACGAAAATAACTGGTTCGCATTAAAAGGGAAGACTTTTGTTTTGATTGCTGCGCAACGCACACAAGTCCCACAGAGCATGGGCAACACGAATACATAAGAGCGAGTGATGAAACGCGGCGGATTAGAGCAGTAAAGCCTGCAGCGAAGATGTCGTTAGCCTGTAAGCACACACTCACGCACACGCGAAAAGTCAGGGCGAGAAACTTGACTACGCGCATGATGCAAAATTCCAGGCAAATTCTGCGCGTTGTACGCAAAAACCGGCACTCACTACCGAATGTCATGACGTTGAGATGCAACGATGCGACCGCGATGACATCGACCATGTCCTCTTGCGTCGCCCCCGGGAGGCAAACCACTAACTCCCGGGGACCCTTGCAGTATGTAATACACACCCTGGACGGATATTTAAAGCTCGAAAACTCCGCAGCAAGAAACAGCCACGGTGCCTAAATTAGCGGCGTTGGAACCGTCTCGTGGAGCGCTTTTCATTTTTTGCATTTGTGCATCCTCCTCGTCGTGGAGCTGTCGAGCTTTCAAAATCAGTCCAGGGGGTGTGGTATCTTACGTCATGCAACCTAAAATGCACATTCTCACGGGTCTCTTTGCTCTATCACATTGGCCGCGCAGAGTATGTGAGCATTTTTGCGTCCGAACCCCCATGACCACAGCAGAAATCGAAACTTAAAGTTAGGACCGGCGCAGTGAAAATCCCGGGGAGACTTCAGCGCCGCCGCTGCCGAAAAACGAGCCCTCTACCGTCGAGTCTAACTCGGCATGACGTTTTATCCCCCGACTCCCTCCCCCTCTCTTGCCCCATCTCTCCCCGCCCAAACTTCTTCCAAGGTGCTCAACATCCACAGGGCTGGCGCCGGAGCTTTCGAGGGGCTGGTGACTAACCAGCTGGGGGAGTATCTCTCCAACCCCGACACTAAGGTACAAAAAAAAAAAAAAAAACGTCCGGCGGATGAAAAACGCACCACACGGTCTGACTTGTATTGATGGAGGTCCGGCGGATGGAAGACGCGCCACACCGTCTGACTCTTGAATGATCTTCGCCTTGTTCCACCAAATTACCGCAAAGAGGGTATTTAGTCCCAGTCTAGGGCAAAAAGACCTTGTGCCGCTTGGTGACTGGTTGTGTGTCGTTCCCCCGAACCTTTCGCGGAACGCTGCTGGTACGGCAGACTTGTCCACGCTTGTTTGCCTGGTGCAGCTGGGTGCGAAGCTCCGCGCTTTTGTTCTCTTGAGCGTACCCAGGGTGGACTGCAGCCAGCCAACCCTGCGGTTTTTTGCTTTTGTCGTCGAAGACGGACTCCTGTCTGTTCCTCCACGCCTTTCTTTTGTTCTTTCGCTGGACGCGTGGTCAATGGTCTAACCGCTAAGGCATGCAAAACATAGGAGTACGCCCCCCCCCCCCCCCCCCCCCCCCCCATCCTTTCCAAAACGTCCCCTGGGCCGGCGAAAATATTATGTCCCCCACATTGTACGGATGCGAGGTCTAACGACTACGGCATGCGTTTACATTAGAACATCCCCCCCCCGCCCCCGTATCACATTATGAACGCATGCACTGTACCGAACACCGTGACGCGGTCCAACCTCTCGGCTACCGGTTGGTTCGATGGGCTCGTCCGTAGATGTATCTGCCGCCGCCCGCTTATCATGTCAACAACAACGGCATAACATCGCGAACTCCAACAGAAAAACCAAGCACATTTGTTTCTTATACGGGACGGGGACAACGCGTCTCCTACGTGCGGGCTCCCTTGCATGCGGCCACCGCGCAGGTTCGGGAGCGGGCGACGCTGCTGCTCGCCGAGCTGTTGGCGCGGCTGCCCACTCTGCCCCTGGCCGCCGCATCCGCGGCGCGTTTCGCCGGCTTTTTCTCGTCGCGCCTCGGCGACTACCCTTCGGTAAGTAAATTTTTTTCGGTTTAAGCAACAACGGGTGCCCCCGAGAGTTGGCGGGGGCACACCAGGTAGAAGCAGTACGTCGCGATAATGCGAGTCCTTGGCAACACCTGCTTTGGAGGGAGGCAACAAAGCGTGACCGCACCCCCCGGCGCCATTGCCCAGCAGCTCGCTTGCACTCCCCCCTCCTTTCACACTAACCCCACCAGTAGTAAGTCGACCGTCCATCCACGTATTGATCTTCTTTTGTTCTCCTGGTGGTTCGGCGTGGTGTGCAGGTGGTGCCGGCGCTGAAGGCACTGTCCGACCTGCTGAAGAACCACTCGCCGGCCCTGTTTGGCGGCGAGGATGCCTCCGCCGCCGGGGGGGGGGTGGGCTCATCTCGCCGTTCGGCGCCCGCCGTTGCCGTTGCCGCGGGGGGTGACGGGGGCACTGCCGGGGTAATCGCCAGGGGCGTGTTCGAGGAGCTTCACTTGCCGGCTCTTTCCCAGAGCATCCGACAGGTGGGGGGGCAGGCGGAGGGATGGCGTGTAGTTCAGCGGCAGAATCATGAGCGAGTGCTTGTGGTCGAGGCCGTGTCTTTGTTCGGAGTGCGACAGATTGCCTCGTTTCGGACCGAGCTTCGGTTGACTCGTGCCTAAATGGTGGAGTGGTGTGCCCGGTATCATTAAAGGTCGTGTTTTTCGGTGCCAGCATGTCGCCTCGTTTCGAGCCAATCTTGGTTGGTGCGCTCGTGTTGCGTGTATCTTGTTATTATTATCATCGACCGCGCTAACCGGCTGACCAATGAAAAGACGTCAGTCTCGGTGCGGTTGAAAACACAAGACACTTCTAAATGCCATGAACTGGGACCCCGTGAGGGGGCAGCATGTTGTGTGTGTGGATGTGTGTGTGTGTGCTCGATGTCGTTCAAGCCCAAACTCTCGGTGCCACGTTCGGTGCCATCGATCGCCGTCGGGGGGGATGGTCGGCAATGCGCACACCGCGAGCCTCTCACCCGAGGAGACCATCCCCTTTTGAGGCCGGCTTGGCCGGCTCTCTGTGTTGCTTCCAGAGGTGGCGGCGTCTGTTCTTTTGACGTTTCAAGGGAGAGTGGGGCGCGGACAAGAAACTGTCGGAAACGTGCGTGTTTCGTTTGCGCTGTGCACGTGACCAAACGCGCGCGTGATTGCGACAATACTCCCCTGCTTGCCGAGAACATTCCCCTTTTTTGCCTCAGAAGACTGAAGGGATAATCTGTGCATACGCCGTCCACCGCAGCAAGTAGTTCCGCTCTCTGGCCCACCCGTGCCGTCACATACCGAGCACCTGTGCCCTTTTTTTTTTTTTTTTTTGTTTTTTTCACACAGAGTACCGTTTATTTTTTTTTTTTTTATTTTGCTCCCTTCCTCCCCATGAGGGATTAGGGGGGCCCCATGGGAGGTCAATGGTTTAGGGATTACGGCATGCCCGCCCATGAGCCCCCCCCCCCCCCCCCCCATGCGCGCAGGCGGCCCTGTCCGTGTTGCTGGCGCTCGTGACGCACCCGGGTTTTACGGAGGCGTTGTCCTCGGGGATGGGAAAGACCTTCGTCGACGGCCTGGTGGGGTCGCTCGAGGGCGAGAAGGACCCGAGGTTTGGGCCTTGGTCTTGATGCTATTTAGCTGTTTGCCGTAACAGGCGGAGAGATGGCACCCCCCCCCCCCCGTTTGACGGATCTTCAGAGCTCGATTGTTCCACAAGCAAGATTGATTGTGCCAACAACAAGATTGGTGGTTTTGGAAACATCTCATCGAGGGACTTTCCGTAGGCGTATCCGGGCTCTAGCTGTTATTAATAGCAGCGTCTTCCCGCACGGTCTATCTAGGGAGGAAGGAACTCTGATACACAGCCCGGTAGCTGTTTTTTTGTCGATGGTCTATTTCCGACTACAGCATGCGTTTACATGAGTACATCCCCACGCGCGCGCGTTCGCTCGACGAGCGAATAGCCCAACCACCTAGCCTGGTGCCAACACCGTCCTGCTTAGTGGGACAACTAAGGCATGGAAAGCATGAGCGCCCCCCCTCCGCCCTTGGTGATGTGAGAGCCTGGTCCGGTGAGAACCCGGCGTGCTCCGTGCCGGCTTCGTAAGGCTGCGAGGTCAACGGTCTAACGTCTGTTGGCATGCACGGCCATGAGTACCGTCCCCCCCCCCCCCCCCCCCCGCCCGGCCCCTATAATTCCGCGGGCGACCCTCTCAACCACCAGTCCATCTTATATGTGTTTGCCTCGTGCTGTGCTAACGCCTGTCCTCCTTGCAGGTGTTTGATCGTCGGCCTGTCGGCACTCCGTAAGACCCAGCAGGGCTTCGACCCTGCGGTGTTGCAGGAGACCTCCGAGGCGGTGTTTGACGCGACGGCGTGCTACTTCCCCGTTACCTTCACGCCTCCGCCCAACGACCCCCACAACATAAGCCCGGACGCGCTCCGAACAGGTTCGTCTGCTTGGTTTGGGGTGATGGGGGTTGTCCGGACGCTCTCAGGACAGTTTTGTTTGGTGTTGTCGAGTCCGTTTGGTATTGGGGTCTTTGGTGTGATGGGGGTTGTTGTTGTTGTTGTTGTTGTTGTTGTTGTTGTTGTTGTTGTTGTTGTTAATGTCGGTGTTGTCGGTGTTGTCGTTGTTGTTGTAATTGTTGTTGTGTTGTTGTTACTGTTGTTGTTGTTGTTGTTGTTGTTGTTGTTGTTGTTGTTGTTGTTGTTGTTGTTGTTGCTGCTTCCTCTTCTTCCTCTTCTTCTTCATCTTGCGTCCGCACTAACCACCGTTCCGTGTGGCGAAACCACAAAACAAGACACCCACATCCTGATAACCAAAAAAACGATTCCAGGTCTGGAAGGCGTTCTCGTCGGATCCCCGGGGATGGCGCCGCACGTCCTGCCCATGCTCCTGGACAAGCTTTCTTCCGAGGTTTCCACCGCCAAGGAGGCCTCCCTCAAGGCCATGGTGGCCGGGGTGAGGGCCTTCGGAGCCCCGGGGGTGGGGGTGCATCTCCGCGCGATCGGGGGAGCCATGTCTGAAGAGGTGAGACACTCTACATAGTGTTTTCCTACATAGGGGAAATTTTTCCGATAATTTTCTGGAAGCGCGCGCGGGTGTGTCTGGACCCTTGGTCGGTCGATGGCGTTCTCGGGCCTCTTTGCGGGTTGGTTCCTTTGAACCGGCACTTGAAGGCCGAGGTCCCAATGCGGCGGTGCGTGCTTTGTTTTTGTTTCGCGTCTACGTTTCGTTTTTTGTTTGGTGTCGTGGTTTTTGCTGTTCGCCCAACCTCCCGACCCATCATCGAATTATTGCGCACACCCAATGTCAGGTATGCCTTCTTTCTTTGACCTGGAGGAACTCAATCGCGGACCTGAAACAATGCAGACCCCGGTGTCGTCATTGCCCTTCGGCCTCGTTTGATATTATTTGCCCAGGCGGTACACCGTGCTCCGTCCTCTCGAGGTCAATGGTTAATCTAACAGCTAAGGCCTAACACAGCTATTATGGCATGCCAAGCATGAGCACCCCCCTCCCCCCTTGGTGATGTGAGAGCCTGGTCCGGTGAGAACCCTGCGTTCTCCGTCCCGGCTTTGTAGGGATGCGAGGTCAATGGTCTAACAACTGCGGCATGCACGGCTATGAGTGTCACCCCCCCTTCCTCCTCCTCCGTGCCCCCTCCAGGCGGTGCACGGCTCCGACCCCGACCTGGCGGCGCTTGCGCTCTTGTCCCTGACGGAGGTGGTCCGAGAGACGGCGTCTCACGCGGTTTTCGCCGGTCTTGGGGAGGCGTGTCCGGAGTGGAGGGCCCTGGCGAACCCCCTGCTCGAAGGGGCCGTCGCGGAAGTGACGGGGGATCAGCCGTGCTCGGTGCTGGGAAGGGGCTCCGCGAGGGTTTTGCTGGTGAGGGGGGGGGGGGGCGTACTCATGTTTTGCATGCCTTGGCGGAACATGCGGATGCGGTGGGAGGGGGGAGGTTGTTGATTTTTGCTTGTCTTTGGCTGAGGGAAGTTGACTGTACGTCCCGATTGAGAAAGGCGTGCCGTTGCTTGTAGGAAAGTAAGGGGATGGAGTGCTGCTTTCGTTCTTTCGTCTGTGCCACAGTGGAGCGTGCAGGTCGCTTGTAGTTTTGGCCCGTTTCTTGCATGTTCGGCAGTTTCTCAGCTCCTTCGAAGGTGTGTGTATGTTTTCCATAGGACGACGCCTTGGTGCCCTCATCGCGCGAAGCCAGTCTCCGTTATGACTTGAGTAAAGATCCCGGGCATGGCTACAGGGCACACGAAACGCTTCTATGTCCCATTCGAACACCAACATGATGCTTCCCCCACACAAGACCGGGGTGTTGCATATCTTGCGAGTTTCATCGGAATCGCGACGTGTTCGGAGCTGCTTTAGAAGCTTGAGTCCCCCCCCCCCTTCCCTTGCAAGGGGGATGATCGCACCACGTTGTGTTAAAATGGTCGAGCACCCTCGAGGCAGTTACACAGTGCTTATAACTGCCTCTGGAAGTGAAAGCACCAGAAAATAAATTATTTCATACGCAGCTGTCATCCGTACGCAAGGAAGTAAGCACAAGATGCCGAACACCCTTAGCAGGATGCAGCGCACCCTTCATGCGACTCGCCGAATACCTCCCGGCGCTTCAGGCTTGGTGATGTGAGAGCCTGGTCCGCTGAGAACCCGGCGTGCTCCGTCTCGGCTTTGTAGGGATGCGAGGTCAATGGTCTAACGACTACGGCATGCACGACTATGAGTACACCCACCCCCTTGCCCCCCCCCTTTAGGCCCTCGCAGCATCGTCTGCCCTGGGCCTTCGTTCGGCGCTAGCGCTAGCAGTGCCCCGGCTGCTTCGTGCTCGCAAAGAAGCTGCTGCGGCGGCGGCGGCCATGAAAAGGGACGTTTCTGCTCTCGAAGGGGGGTCGACTAGCGGCTGTTGTGGTGGCAGAGGCGGAGCGGCGGCAGGTGGAGGGGGCTGCTGCGGTGGCGGTGGAGGGGGGCACGAAGATGCGATGGTGACCTACGGGGGGGGGGCGGCTGTTGCCGACGCGGAGGCGTTCGAAGACGCGCAGACGGCGAGGTTGGGAGCGCTGGCGGGGCTTGCGGCCGCGGTGGATGACAAGGTGGGCGCCGGCCCCGTTTTTCTTGCACGAGAGAGCCGCCAGCATTTTTTTTTTGTGGGATTGTCTTGTTGAGTTGTTTTTTGTGTCGGAGACACTCAGGAGCAGAGCGTGACGAAACAAGAAAAGCTTTTCGCTAGTCTATCACGGGCTCTTTTTGTTGTCCGTGGAAGAGGTGGGTTTGATGTGTTCTTTTTAAGAGCAATATTGTATAAATGCCCGTCCGAAACGCGACGCTGAGAATCATCATCGTTCCCTCGAGCAGTCTATGGTATATTTTTCTGCGAGCAAATCGGCGATGCTGTTACACGTTCTTGCGGCCCTGAGAATCACCATCATTCCCACAGCAGTCTATGGTATATTTTTCTGCGAGCAAATCAGTGATGCTGGTGCTGGTAAACGTTGTTGCCTCCCTGAGAATCATCATCATTCCCACAGTCTATTTCTGGCGGCCCTTCGAATTATCATCCCCGAGCAAAAGCCAGCGATGCTATTTATTCAACTAAGTATTCTTTGGTGCCTGTTCACGAATCGTCTCCAGGTTGATTTCTCCGGCAGCCAGGGCGGCGCTCCTCTCCAGCCGTACGTCGACCCCCTCCTGTCCGAGTTTTCCGCCGCTCTGACCGGCCACCGCGGCGGCGGCAGCGGCAGCGGCGGCGGCGGCGGTGAAGCATTCTCACTCCCGCCGCAAGCAGCACCGGCGGCAGCACGGCTGCCATCGGCTGCGGCGGCCGCCACCGTCTCCCTGGCCTCTCGAGGCCTAAGTGACGTCATCACCCGCCCCCCGGCGTCGCTCGTGGAGGAGGGCAAGATTCAAGACGTCGTGCGGAGCCTGGTGGCCGTATTGGCTTCGCCGGGGGCTTGGGAAGGAGGAGGCGGTGAAGAGGAGGGGGGGTCGGGGGTCGGAGAGGGCACGGCCGCTTTGGCCGTGCTCACGGCGCTAAGGTACGGGGGGGCGGGGGTAGGGGGGGGTACTCATCTTAACGCATGCCGAAGTCGTTAGACCTCGCACCCCGGGACAGAGGAGCGATACACCGGGTTTTCGCCGGCCCCAGGCTACGGTACGGTTCACAAGGATGAAGCAGAAGTGTGTCATCACACTCGCGTTTGCTGTGCCAAACCAGATATACGACGGGTTGATTGGGCATCCCGCCTAACCAAAGGGTGGAGAATGTCGTTCTTGTGGCATTCCTGGCATCAGTCTTGAGGTGTTTGGTGTGTGTGTGTGGTTTTGGGGCGCATTCGCTGCTTCTCGAAGTTGTTTTCCGCGTGGAGTAAAATGCGGCAGGGGGGAATGGGTCGCCCGCTCAGGCCCATTGTGTAGCCCTGCCAAGCTTCTCTCTCTCTCTCTCCCTCTCCCTCTTTCCCGTCTCTCTCTGTGTGTGTGTCTCTGTCTCTCTCTGTCTCTCCCCGCCCCTCTTTCTTTGTCTCTTTCTCTGTCTTCCTCTTTCTCTCTCCCTCTTCTCTGTCTGTCTGTCTGTCTGTCTGTCTCTCTCTCTCCCTCTCGGCCATGGCGGCTTACAACCTTCGGCGCTTCAATTCCTACAACCCTGCTGTATTCCTCTTGTTTTCTTCGCTCGACCCCCACACGCAACTCCCTCATTTTTCGATACGCCAAAGGTCTATCGGCCTCCGCCGGCCGGAGTACGCCCGTGCCGTCCTCGATACCGCGGTGCCCCCGCTCCTCAAGCAGCTGCCGCACGCCCGCCCCCCCCCGCCCGCTGGCGAAAAGGGCGAGAGCACATGTGCGAGCGATCCCCCCTCATCGCCGGCCGGAACGTCGGCGGCGGCGGCGGTGGCGGCAGAGGGGGAGCGTGCGTGCGCGGCTCTTGTGGAGCTGAGCGAGGTCCCCGGCGTCTTCGCGATAGCCTTGTCCGCCCTCTTAGCCGGTGAGAGAACGATACGATGCGTATTGTTGACACGGGCCGGACGTTGCTGGAAGTCATTCGTTACCCCTTCTGGAAGCCGTTTAGGCGTGATGAATACCATGGAAGTGTGTTTTTTCGCGCGTGGGCAGGAGCCTGGTTTCGGGAGGGGGGTCGCGCCCTTGTGCCGTGATCGGACTTGAGTATCTACCGCCTCGTTGGGTCGCACAAGACCCTCAGCGTTCGGTGCACAAACGTGAAGGCCTCATGTGTGCGCTTGCCCGCTTTGGGGCGTGGTGCATCGATCGCTGTCTAGGCTTACGGAAGCTTCTACGAGTGAAGTGTTTTCGCAATTCACGTTAGGGCGTAGTGACGGCGCTTAAGCCTCTTCCTGCGTTCGTTGTGCCTCACCGTAACCCCCCCCCTTCCTGACGCTTTCGCGTGCATCGTCCACATGGATTTCACCCATTTGTGACTACGGCTTGTTGCGCTTCCCCGTCCCCCCCCCCCCCCCCCCCCCCCCCC